TGCGTCTGATCCGAGGCGGGCATTTTGCTCCCTCAACGGGCAATTGGTCTTTGGACCTTCCTTTAGCATGCCTCTGTTACGGAGTGCGATTATCAGTCTTAGTTTGGGGGCAGTATTGTCTCAAAGTTGGCCAAAACGCTCAGAAATGTCTTTGAAAAATCATGTTTTGGGTCGATTTTAAGCAGCCACTGCGTCTGATCCGAGCCGGGCATTTTGCTCCCTCAACGGGCAATTGTTCTTTGGACCTTCCTTTAGCATGCCTCTGTTACGGAATGCGATTATCAGTCTTAGTTTGGGAGCAGTATTGTCTCAAAGTTGACCAAAACAGTCACAACGGTTTTTCAAAGACATTTCTGAGCGTTTCGCCAACTTTGAGACAATACTGCTCCCAAACTAAGACTGAAATCACACTCCGTAACAAAGCATGCTAAAGGAAGGTCCAAAGACCAATTGCCCGTTGCTGGGGACGAGGTACCGCCTCGGGCAGACGCAGTGGCTGCTTAAAATCGGCCCAAAACACGATTTTTCAAAGACATTTCTGACCGTTTTGGTAAACTTTGAGACAATACTGCTCCCAACTTAGACTGATAACACACTCCGTAACAAAGGCATGCTAAGGAAGGTTCAGACCAATTGCCCGTTGAGGGAGCAAAATGCCCGCCTCGGATCAGACGCAGTGGCTGCTTAATCGGCCCAAACCGACCCCAGCTACCTCGCCGCGACCCCTTAAAATTTTTTCGCGACCCCTGGGGTCGCGACCCTAAGGTGAGAACCACTGGTCTAGTGGAGTTGTACGCCCGGGCGTCTGTTACGAATCTGCTGGAGTCTGCGGTTGGCCTCCTGGAGTCTGTGGCGAATCCGAGTGAGGTGGTCCTGCTGGAGTCTGCGGCGCTGGAGAATCTGAAGGACGCTCGGCCCGGCTCGGCCCGGCCAAGCACGGCCCGGCCCGGCACTCGGCAGGACACGAGACATGAAGACGACGGTCACACAAAGGCGCACATGGCGGCGCGTCGCCGGTACGTCGGCCAAACCGGTCGCAGCAGTGCGCCGGCAGCCAGGCGGCCAGCCAGGCAGCCAGCCAGCCGGGCCCACCTGAGAATTTTATGTGCTTCTTTCCAACTTATTACCGAGCAAGCCCCTCGGCTTTGGTTTCGTTCCTTTATCCAAGCCGCTCCGCGCGCGTCGTCATCGCGTCGCCGGCAGCTAGAGGAGCCACTGCCTCGGGGTCCGGGGCCATCATGCCGGCCGTCATGGACCGTGTTTCACGTTGTGTGAAGCCATTTGGGGACCGGGGCACCCTGGAGCCTCCAGGCAGGCAGGCCGGCCGGCCAGGTGTGGGTGTTCGTCAGCAAGAATTGCGCCTCGTTATGTAACCCGTGTGTCTGTGTGAGTGACTGTGTGAGTGTGGCGCGCGCTCGCTGATTGAGCTGGTGCCTTCCCATTGACGAGTGAGTGATGTGTGACCCCGCCCTGCCCCGCCGCGCCGCGCCGCGGCCCGCGGAACGCTTCGGCGGCCTGCATGTCTCGTCGGAGTGTCGGACTCGGGTCAACGTCCTTGCCGTGGCCCGGCGTAGTGGCCCGGTGCCTTGACTCGGCGGCCCAAAGCCGGCTCGCGGGTTCGCTGTGGGAACCGAACGAGGGAACGGCCGAAGAGCAGAGACACTCGCGAGGTGGCGCCAGGTGCACTGTATGTGTGTGTGGCTCGGTCCGGAAACGCCGATGAAGTGCGCGATGCGCGGTTGTTCTTAGCAGCACGTTGTTTCCGTTTTAGCCGCTCGATGGATTCCCGCCGTGAAAGCGACGCCGTCGTCGCCGCGTCACCTTTTCTTATCGCGGGAAGAGCGTCTCCAGTGTGCCTCCAGCGAGCCTCCAGCGCGTGCGCTACCGCTCTCCAGGCGTCCTGGAGAAGGCCAAGCAGCCCGTTAGCCTCGGGGTCGCATTTCGTTACGAACCGCGCCCCAATTTATCTTTCCAGATTCCCGTTTTTCCCGCTGCCCCGTCTGTCTGTCTGTCTGTCTAATCTAGCCGTCCGCTCGTCCGATCTGACCCCGGCCGATCTCGTAATCAGGTCCGCCGTATGCACCACTTGGGTCAATGCATCGGCTGTTGCTGTCTCGCTCGCACTCGCAGGGCTGTCCGTACCGGCCCTGGCGGCGCGCGACCGGACATCGGTTTCCTTTGCGTTATCGATGCGTCCTCGATCCCGTCCACTTGCGTGCACTATGCATGGAGCGAGACGCTATGCGGACGGTTTTAGACGAGTCGTGGAAAACAGCGTCGCCTTGTCATTTGTTCCAATTTTTACTAATTTTTCTGCCTTACGTACTACTTGAAATTGGCTATTTCTGTGGCCTTGATCACAAATAACACCGCGCCACTGCTAGTATATCAAAAGGGAGAATTTTTGGTCGATTTCCTTGAAGCTTCAGGCGGTTGGCCGAGCTTGGCAGTGTAGCTGCACTGACGAGGTGGCGTCGCGGCGCGGCGGCGTCTGTGGCGGCACGCTCCATTTGGCGGTGTCGCGACGCCCCAGTCCGTCTGTAGGACTGCCTGACTTGCTTTCGTTTGACCTGCTGCCTTTTCGGCCCGCCCGTCTGTCTGTCTGCCTGTCTGTCAGTCTGTCCGTCCGAATCACTGTCGACTTGATGTTGTCATCTCCAAACGGCTGTTATGCTAATTGCACGAGCGTGGACGACACGTTGCTGCTTGGCTGGCCGGGGGTGTGGCGGTGGCACGAGTGCATGACATGACGGTGTCCTGTCTGTCTGCCTGTCTGTCTGTCTGTCTGCCGCTCGGTCGGTGTGATCGCCTGCTTATCCGCGGCTACCGGACGTACAAGTCTAATTGCTCCACCATTGTCGTTTGATCGACTCGGCACGCGTGGGCGGGGCGCGTTCGCGATCCTCGTTGATCGTGGTGGCGGTGCTTTCGAACGCGCCCAAACGACTGGTTAGTTGAGCAGCCCCGCGTCGGTCGCTGAGTCACCGGCCTCGTTTGAACGGCTGGCTTGGTGCCGCCGTGACGGCGCGGCGACGCACAGTGGGCCAGAAGACCGGTGGAGGCGGCCAAAACTCTAAGACGCATTTTCAGCCCCAGAGTCGTTGAACACGACTCGAACCGAACGTGTGGCCCCACCAATGGATTCCTCGTTCGGAGAGCAATCCATTGGTGGGGTCACACGCTCGGTTCGAGTCCCATTTAGCGACTCTAGAGCTCAAAACGCGTCTAGAGTTTTTGGCCGCCTCCACCGGTCTTCTGGCCCACTGTGCGACGTGGACCACGGAGTGACCGGATCTGGCCGGGCGGCGGTCGTGCTCGTCATCGGCGCGGAGGAGAGGAACGCACCCTGGAATGGGAATAAATGAAGAATTGATGACCGCGGAGAGCTAATTAGTGCCTGGCTGGCCTGGCTCCCGTTAGGCCGGCGGACCGACCGCAGCGCCATCTGTGAACGAGGCAGCGAGGCAAGGCAACGCTAGCTGCACAGTGCACTGCGCGGAGACTGCGGAGACTGCGGAGCGGAGCCCAATGACAAAAGCGGGTGATGCGGTCGTTTGATTTGTAGTCCGATTGCATATTGATGGAACGGAACGACGTAACGGAGGCGTGGCAGTGGCTTCGGGCCTTCGGCCTTCAGGCGGAAGCAGGCTGCTGGAATAGAAACACCGCTACGGTTTCAGTGGCTTTCAGCCGCCCTGGAAGCTCTGCTGGAGTGTGGCGGCCCGGCGTGCCGAAGCTGGAGGCTGGTCGGCGGCCCCGCAGGGCCCGTCGCATGCGCCAGTCTTCTGGCCCACTGTGCGGCGGCCGCCCACCTCGAGGCCGTGTCCCCGGCGACGCCATGCCAGGCCGACGCCGCGATGCTCCACTGCTGCCGACTCCAGGCATCAATAAGGCCTCGGCGGCCTCGCCCGGCGCGAGCTTTCCCTCGGCCTTATCACGGGCATCTTGGAGGCGCGCGGCGTGCCCCGGGTGTGCCTGCCGCGCCGCTGCCGCTGCGGTTGACACGCCACTATAAACGACGGACGAATGACCCTCTCCGAGTGCACCGCCGGTTTACGGGGGCCGACTGTCTCTGTCTCTGTCGCACTCGCGGGGCCTTCCCTGGGGGTGCGAGAGAGACGAGAGAGATATGCCGTGCGTCCCGCAGCCCCCCGTGCGCGGCACGCGGGCCCCAACTGTTTTACAGCGTAGGGCCACTTTGGGGAAAGGCCCTGCACTGCAGTCGATGCTTTGTTTTTGTTGCAACCTCTATTCGCGCGAGATATCCTTTCGGCTAGACGCGCGAAGTCTTACATCGCCGATATCGGAGAGGATTAAACAACAACAACAAACGCGGGGTGGCGCTGTAGGGAAAGGGGTGCGTGTGCCCTCGCCTGTGTGTGTATCCTACACGCGCAGAAAAGGAAAAAAAGAAGCGCGTTTTTTAAAATCAATTTGAAAAGGCCGGCAGATGCAACGTGTCGTCGCGCGAAGATTTCCGACGGTAATGACTGCGGTTTCCTGTCTCTCTCTGGTTCGTTAATTACGCGCCGATTCTACGACCGCTAATTCTTGCCTTTCATCTCTCCTCTCTTTCTATCGAAGCGTCGTCATGCCGCGCGTTCCACGTCGCGCATCCGCGGAAAAGAAAAGGAGGAAAAACGGTGTCCCTCGGAAGAAGCGGCTTTTTCTGCCCGTTTTAAACACCGTGTCGTTATTGACACGGTTCTCGTTCCGTCGGGGTAACCAACGCCTGTAACTGCGGCGCGCCGCTGGTAGTTACACCGGCGTGTTTGCGGACCCCCTGGGAACCGCGGGGACCACTGGGAACGACCAGACAATGGCCGCAGCCGGCCCGACCCGGTGCAATGGCCAATGGGAAGCTTATTTATTAGTGCAGGCTCTGCGGGCGAGGGGCGCGTCTGCTCACTCCACTTGCGTCACTCCCGCCGTCGCATTTTTGCCTACACTGTATGGACAGATTAACCAACTTTTCGTTTTGTTTCTTGTTTTTTTCGCAGAGCCCCTCCAAGCGCCGCGGTTCATCACGCAGCCGTCGACGTCCAACAGCATCGTCCCGGAGGGCCGCACCAAGATACTGCAATGCCAAGCCTTAGGTGAGTCCCGGAACGGGGGACAAATTTTCTCGCATTTTGTTCTGGTGTCGCCGGGGACGAACGAGGGGGAAAAGTAAACCGGCCTCGCCGAAATGCGAAGAAGGGCTCTTTAGCTGAGCCGTGTGGCGTGGAAACGCAGCTAACGCACCCAAAGAGGCAGAAGCTTGTTCGGCCCGTGAAGCTCTAGGCGTGCTGAGAGGGGGGGGGGGCTAAGCGCGGGGGAAACGGGTCGATGAGGACGCCGGCCGAAGCCGAGGCGCATCGCGACGCGTGCTGGAGTCCCCGGCCAGGCGCGTGCAAGTCGATCTTCGGGGGTGTCTGACATGAGTGCACGGCGAGCCCTTAATGGTAATGGTAATGCGCGCCTGGGCCACCCGCCGCGCGCGCGCGTTCGGCGGGTTTGCCTATGGCGCGATTGTAAGGCGCTCTGCGCGTCAGTTGGCCGCCGCTGGCTGAATCCGAGCGCTGCCCGCTGTCTCTCTCGCACTCGTGGAGCGTCCCGTAGGGCTGTGAGTGTGCGAGAGAGACAGAGCGAACAACGGTCCGCAGTACGTAGACCCGGTCCAGGCCGTCGGGCAGGGGGTCGTGCTCTCCGGAGCGTGGCCCAACTCTGCGTGTTACAGTGGGCTGGCTGCCGCGGTAACGCACCGCTGTGACGCTGTGACAATGCGTCATCTGGACTTGTGGGCCGGACATCGCTCGGGCAGTCGCTCGTGACCCACAGGGGGGGGGGGGGGGGGACTTTGTTGGAGGTGTCGCTCCAGTGCCCGGTCCAGGCAGACTCCGAAATACTGGCTGCTGTGGCGGGAGGCCCGTCCCCGCGCCCTCTGTCGCACTTGTGGGGAATGCTCGGGTCGTGGGCAGTGGCCGTTTTCGGTATCTGCTTGCAGTGGCGTGGCGCGGTGGTCGTCGACGACAGCGCTGCCGTTGTGTGGTCGCGGGGGCTAGGCGGCTTTGTGCACACTTTGTGCAGCCGGCCCACGGGAGCGTGCAAGGCGGTGCAAGGTGCCCCCGTCGCCCCGACGCCATGATGTCACTTGTGCTTGACCTCCGCCGCCTCCTCGCCTCCTAGGTGCCCCCTCCCCCTTCCCCCTTTTCTTGCGGATAACGGCGTCGCGGAGTTAACGCTTTCACGACTCCGGGAGGCTGGGCCAGCGGGGCCCGCTGGGCGTCGTGTGTCGAGAGGAAGGGTGGGGTGGGGGCAGCACTGCACGACTGTCATCTGCTCCACGACGGACACGACGTCGAGACGGAGTCGAGACGAACTGCTTCACGATCGAGTTCGCCAGCGCGGCGCCGAGGGGAGGCACTGTGGAGCAGAAGACCGGTGGAGGTGGTCGCGGTGGTGGCAGTGGCGGGGCGGCCCGTTCGACCTATCCTGTCGCCCGGACTCGCCGCTCTGCATCTATCACTGTCCAGCGCCGCGGCGTCGCGCCCCTGTGTCGTGTGTCTGAGTGGGTGTGACACGCCGCGCCGTGTCGTACCGGTCTTACCGCGCCACGCACGTCGCGCGCCCACCGAGGCGGCCCTGATGCTCGCGCCCGGCGTGCCGCGCTGCGGACTCGCTCTGTCTCTGTCGCACTCGCGGGGCGTTCCGTCGGGGTGCGAGAGAGACAGAGCGACGTAACGACTGTCGGCCTGCTGGCGTGGCTGAGGCTGGCAAGCGCTGGCGGCGCCGCGTTGGCCACACTCCGTTGCGCCTCCGTGCCCCAGTACCGCCACGCCGTGCAATCGCTCGACTAGGGCATTGAGTAGAGGCTCTGCGGAACGCCCGCCGGGGGTTCCACAGTTTGGCGCGCCCCGCCCCGCCCCGACCAGCCCCACGCGGGGTGTCGTTGACCGCGGGGCCAGCAGCAGGCCGTCCACCTCAACCCTCAACGAGGCCGCACCGGCCGAAAAGGCTTTTGAACGTGTTTGTCGTCCCTCACACACACACACACACACGGCGTGTGCGCCCAGCTTTAGGGGCAGGGACTTGTCTCGTTTAGCAGGGTAAACAGCGTCCCTTCCCGGCCGTGGTGCGCTAGGCCGAGAACGAGGTCACCCATTCACCTCGCTGGGGCCTTAGGCTGGCTGGACAGCAGTTGCACGTTGGAGGGGGGGGGGGGGGGAGGCGAGCCTGGGGGTACTGACTGATAGCATCAAGGATTTTGCGGCGACGAGTTAGCCGGCCCCGTTGATGTGTTGTTGTTTTTTGTTTTTGTTACTGGTGACGCATGCCCTTTCCGGATCCCTTCGGTATGCGTGAGGCCGTGATCTGCGGCAGGTTGACTCCGTCCGAGCGGAGCTTTCTCTCTTTCTCTCACTTGAGGGTGGTGGTGCGAGAGAGACGGAGCGGTTCGCCCCGCTGTCGTCCTGGATGCGGGAAAAGGCATTTTGCGCTCGGCCCACCCGCCCCCTTGGTTCGCTCCATTATGAATGGCCGCCCCTGTTTCTTTCTAAAGAGCGGGGGGGGGGGCCTCGGCAAACTCCGTGCATGCCTGGCAAGGCCCGATGCGAGGCGTCGCTGCGTAGTCACCGCGTTGCCCAATGCGCGCCGTGCGTCGCCGTACGGCGTGACATCATCGTGACGTCATCGCCGCGCTCGTGAGGTGACGGTCGAGATTTTCTGCGTGTCCAGAAACCGAAGGCGGTGGTGCGGAGAGTCGAACCCGCGCGCGCCGCCGCCGGGGTTGATCGCCTGAGTGCGTACTCACACTGTACCAGCACGGTAGCTGCGTATGCAGTAACGGTTCGGCCGGCCCGTCGGCCTGGATTATTAACATGATGGAGTTGGCAGGTGCCGCTCTGCTGCCAACCTGGCGGCCGCGAATCGCGAACGCCGAGCGGAAAACGGCGGCCGGATGGCTTGGCTGCCGGTTGGCCACCCTATGTCGACCTGTCAGGAGGGGGAGGGGGCCGTGGGAAGGCGGGGAATTTGAAATGATGAGTTGGACGGCGCGGCGGCGGTCGCGTCACGTCCCGCGCCCCGGAGTGGATCACTCGGTGGATCGGGATGGCCCTTTGTTTTACAGTGCGGGAGGCGCCACGCGGACCCGCGGAGGGGCGGGGGCCCGCGGGGGAGGGAGGGGGGGTAATTCAGACACGCCTTAATAGCAGTCTTTGGAGCCGGCCGCGGTGGCGTCCTAGCCGGGCCGTTCATTGGTGGAACCTGGAACCCGACACGACAGTGTAAACACCGGCCTTTTGGATTGACTTATTCGCCACGGTGCGCCTCTCCAGCCAGTGGCGTAGCGAAGGCTGGCGGAGGCCCCACTGTGCGGGCAGAAGGGAGACGTGGTGCCTTGCTACGCCGACGAGCGAAAGGTTTACGGGCCATGCGTGTGAGGCACACTGTGAGTTTTCGGCCCGTCGAGGCGCTGATCGATCGCTCAAGCTCGAACACCGCGAGGCTCCGAGCGCCGCTCGCATGGAGGAAGTTCACTGTAAGGAAAGGAAAGTCAAAACGACTTAAGCTGTTCGCTCTTTCTTCGTTGGTGTAAAGTAACATCAGTTCGTTGGGAAATCCTAATTTTAAAAATAAATTAAATTTTAGTCAAGTCTATGAAATTTTTTTTGACAGTTGCGTCGAAGTTGGAGGCCGCAGCGCGGGGAAACGGGAAGGCAGGACGCACTTGTAGGAAGAGCTGGCGAGTGCGATTCGTCGGTGGCTGCACTGCTAATGAAGGCCGCTGCTTCCCGCTGCTGGCCGGCGCGCCTTGGCGGCAATCAGGGCCCGCTCGGTGTGCTCCGGCGTGTCGGCGTGTCGCGCGCCCCGGGACGACGAGCACTCTCACGAATGCTCTTGAATTCACCCCCTCCCGCGTTTTTCCGAACAGTTTGGGCGTTTTCGCCATTGTGGTGGTGTCGCTCCGCCTCCCAGGACTGCCGGGGAGGTGTGAAGAGGCGCGGCCGAAAGCTAATCACAATCGTGGAGGCCTGCCGAGGCCCGCCGTTGTTGTCGCGGCTTTCCTTTCCCCGTCCGGCCGAGTCGCTCTGTCTCTCTCGCACCCTCACGGAGCGCCCCGCGAGTGCGACAGAGACGGAGCGATGAAAGGACTCTCGCGGCAGCGCGTTGTCCAGGAAGCTGCCAGCGGCGCGCGGCCCGAGTCTCGCCGCCAGTGTGTCGTGTTTCGCGTCGTCGCAGCGCGGGAAATTTGAAAAAAATTAATCCGCAGGGCGGTCTTTTCTCTCCCCCGTGATAGGCCGCCTGCTTCCTCTCGACGGTCGGAAGGACGGAAGCTCGTGCGGGAGAGGAGGGTTGGGGAATCGAGGGAAAATAATAATGGGAAGGCTCGATGCAAAGTGCCGAGGCAGCCCTTCGGGACCCTCGGGGCCCTCCTCTGCCCTCCCCGGCCCTTCGGCAGCAGGACGCACATTGTGCACCCTCGAGGGCCGATCGGGTGTCTGCGCCCGAGAGGCTCATTGTCCACGCACCTATCGGCGGCGTCCTCGGCGGCGTCCTCGGTCGTGTCCTCGGCGCCGTCCTCTAAGATGTTCTCGGTGGTGTCCTCGGCGCCGTCCTCTTAGATGTTCTCGGTGGCGTCCTCGACGGCGTCCTCGGCGAAGTCGGCGCCTTCGTCTCCTTCTAGCCTAGCCTGGCCTCCCTTTGTCTATGTAACGCTCTGTGTTCCGAAGTTTCTCCCCCTGTGTGTGGAGGAGGAGGAATGCGACCGCAGAGAGTGTTTACAGTGCGGTGCGGCCACTGCATTTTCCTCGGCGAGTGCAAGGAGGCCATGCTGCCTTATTTGCGCCACCCACTTTTTACCCCGTTTAAAAATGCAACATTTTCTCCTGAAGAAATAATGGTAATGGTGTAGTACGCGGGGTCGCGGGGCGCCAGCGGCTTGTGATCTAGGCCTCTAGTGCAGTGCTGCTGTGCCCGTGGGAGCGAGGGAGAGAGATAGAAAGCCCGAAGGCCCGTCTGGGGGAGGCAGGCCTGATTCGGCGTCACGGCCTTGCTCGATCCTCGTCGCCTTCTTGCATCCTGTCCTGCCCTCGCCATCCCCAATTTCCCCCCTCCATGCACGCGACGGCTCGCAGTGCAGTGCCCATGGCAGTGCGGGCGCTTGTCCGGCTTCCATCCGATATCACGTGGGAGAGCTGGCGGACTGGCTGACTGGTGTAAGTCGAGACGACGCGTACACCGTCAGAAAGCGACGCCAGGTTCCCGGGTTCGCCTCCCGCCGCCGGCGTGTTTGTCAAAGGGGCGGCGAGAGGGGCCGGATTTACCGCCGCGTGTCTGCAGCCTGGTTGACCCCCGGCCCAGGCGGCCCAGGCCTCGGCTCCCCCTGCAGGCTGTCTCTCTCACACCCACACGGAACGCCGCGTGGGTGCGAGTGAGACAGCGACGAGCAAAGCCCTCGCGAAGGGAGGCGGCTGTCGAGGTTCACTGCCCCCTAGAATGCGTGGCGGTCCCGGCCCCTCTCGCGCCCTCCGTACGCCCCGTGAGTGCGAGAGAGACGGAGCGACGCAGTGTGCCGGCAGCCAGCAGACGACGCGACGAGTGGTGAATAATTGCAGGCCGAAAGGGCACCCTCGTCGGGGACCGTTAAACGGTCTGGAGGAGACACCCCCCTCCTCTTTTTCCCCGGTGCTAAAAGTGGTTTATTTCAGTTGGAGGGAAAGTGCCTTCCGCACCTGGGCAGCGTGTCACGGCCTTCGGCCTTCGGAGCGCCGAGGGGCCGAAGCCGAGGGGCCGAAGCCGAGGGGCCGAAGCCGAGGGGCCGAAGCCGAGGGGCCGAAGCCGAGGGGCCGAAGCCGAGGGGCCGAAGCCGAGGGGTTCAACCTCGAGTCGTTTTCACGGTCCACCGAACGGATCGAGTGACGATCGCTGCAGCGCGCTGACGGGGAGGACGCGGCAGACGCGGACGGACGGGGACAGCCCTTTTACCTCGAAAGTGCATCGAACAACACACACACCCAAGGCGTTTCCTACAGACAGGGATTTTATTTTGGAATTCCTGTCAGGCCGGCTGCTCGGCCTGAGAAGGGCCGAGGCGAAGCGATCAGTATTCCGAATGGGCCGTTCCTTCTCATGAGCTGCATTTTTAAAGGGGGTCCGAAGCCGAAGGAAAGATCACAGTCGAAGCGTGCTTCTGTGGTGTTGTCGTTGTAAAAAGTGATTGTCGCCCCCTAACCAGCTTCGCCCCTTCGTCGCAGCCTACCCGCAGCCCCTGTACCGCTGGATCAAGGATGGCCGCTACCTCAACGACCAGTTCTCCCAGGAGAACTACCACCGCATCCTGGACGTGCAGCGGGCGGACGCGGGCCTGTACCAGTGCGTGGCCAAGAACTCCGTGGGCGCCATCGTCTCCAACCACATCAACGTCACCGTCGCATGTCAGTAGTACCACAACCTCACGACGGCCGCCTCCACCTTGAATGACAGTGAATAATTTTTGTTTCTTGGCTTCCCGCAGACATGGGCGTGTTCGCCGACATGGAGGAGCAGCAGCTGGTGGTGGAGTCCGGCGACGCGGTGGTGATCCCCGTGCCGCCGCTCGAGTCGCACCCCGCGCCCTCGGTGGCGTGGCAGGCGGACGGCCGGCCGCTGCCCTACAGCCACAAGTACGCCGTGTCGGCGCAGGGCCACCTCGTGATCCTGGCCACGGACGAGCAGGACCAGCGCGCCTACCGCGCCAGGGCCACCAACACGCAGCTCGGCAAGGAGGAGGACAGCGCCTACGTGCGCCTCGTGGTGCGCGGCGACCCCAACAAGTGCGTGTTCGTGGTTCTTCCTCCGGTTGGTTCTGTGCCGGGCGTGTTGCTGACTGTTTGGTTCCGCAGGGAGGTGGACCCCGAGTTCGTGGTGCGGCCCTCGGACCTGCACGTGCACAAGGGCGAGCCGCTGGCCGAGCTGCACTGCGTGGCCAACGCGCGCCCGCTGCACGAGCTGGAGACGGTGTGGCTCAAGGACGGCATCCCCATCGAGAACAGCGGCGTTCTGTACAACCTCAACAACCCCTGGAACCGGACGCTGTCGCTGCTCGAGGCCAACATGACCCACACGGGCCAGTACACGTGCGCGGTGCGCCTGCGCTCGGGCGGCGCCGACACCATCATGGCCTCGGCCAACGTGGTGGTGCAGGAGAAGCCCTCGTTCGTCAAGACGGCGCGCTTCGACGTGCTGGCCGAGTTCGGGCACGCCGTCACACTGCCGTGCGACGCGCTGGGCGTGCCGCCGCCCAACGTGTCGTGGTACCGCAACGCCGAGCCCGTGGTCTTCGGCAGCGGGCCCGACGCCAGGTACGCGCGCCGCAAGGCGCCCCGCTTTGCGCTCAGGAAAAGTAACATTTCGAACTTTTGGTGTGATTGTTTGAATCCGCTTCCTCCCCCGCAGGTACGCCCTGGAGCTGGACGGGTCGCTGCTGGTCAAGAAGCTGCACATGGAGGACGCCGGCATGTTCCAGTGCTTCGCCACCAACGAGGCCGGCGAGGAGTCCATCAGCCTGTGGCTGCGAGTCAAGAGTGAGTGTCTGCCTGCTAGTGCAACAGTGCATCTGCATCGGCCAGGCCGGCACGCACGTTGGATAAAAACAGCGCTGCGCCGCGCGCTGTGCGCTTCCCCTCACCCGTAATGTTGAATGTTGCGCCGTCTTGTGTGCCGTTGCGTAAGCCAGCTTGTAAGATTGAAGCAGAATGAATCAATGGAGCGGAGCTCGAGCCGCTCTGTGTCGTTCGCCCTGAATCGTTTGTGCATTTCGCAGACACGGTATTTTCCATGCGTGCAGCCTCCATAGAGCACTTTGTACAGTGTGTATGATTTGAGCATCGCAGTGTCTCATCCCTGTTGTTGTTGATTTTAATTTTGGCTCCCTGTGCCGCTTCATGTTTTGTTGTTGTTGTTTGCTCTTTGCGCCCCGATCGACCCCCCACTAATGCGTCCTGATTAAGCAGCCCCCCGGCCCCCGCCGCCCCCCTGGGCCCCGTGGGTCCGCCGGGCCCGCCGTTGGCGCCGCTCCGACCACCGCGTCGTTCGCGTCCGCCATTCGGAGCACCAGTGGCACTTTGACAGCGGCAGTAAGACCTTGCCTTCCATTCGTGTTGATCCTTGAATTGTTTTTGTTGTTTTTCTTGCACCACCTAGATCGTCCCTGCACCTGCATGAGTTCCGGAGGAGCACGTTTACGATCATTTCCCTCCAATTCTGAGCGCGCTTTTTATGTTTGTCGCACTCGACTTAGTCGTGTATTTGTGTTGTTTAGCCTTTTCGAACGCGCGCGTGTGTTTTGTTGATTGCGACGGGGACGGTGAAACGGAGGAACAATGGACGACGGGACAATAACTGGCTGATTCGAGTAAAGGGCCTGGACGCGGCGATCGGACGGAAGACGACCAGGACTAGACGAGGACGCCGACGCCACCCACTCACTCACTCACACGCACACACTCCGCTCACGTATACAATGAACGGACGGAATCGCCGGCTGCATCGCCGCATCGCCGCATCGCGGACTGCAGCGCGCCCGGAGACTTGCACGCACGAGCCCGGCACCGCCTGACGCCCCTGACACGCGCAGCACGCGCTGGAGGCACACTGGAAGCCGCTAGTGAGCTGGAAGACTGGAAGCGAGACTGAGACCGATGCCTTCCCGCTACCCATCCCGTCGTTCGTTGCAGCAATGCAGTCCAGTGTAGTGCCGCCGACTTCCCCGACTTGCATAGTGTCGTCTTTTTGTTTGTTTTTGTTTTTAGCGCCGCGCTATCGCCCCCCGTCAGCCTGAATGGCTGAATGCGGCAGCCTGTAGTTCCAGTCCGTGAATCTTTGCGGCCTTCCCTCCCCCCCCCCCCCCTCGCTGCAAACAATCCCAACTTGTGTGTGTGTGTGTGAGTGTGCGTTTGTGTGTCCGTTATGTACATGGCCCCCCTCCCCTCGTGTGTGTTTGCGCGTGTGCTTGTGTGTGTTTTTGTTTTGTGAGCTGCACTGTTCCCTCCGAGGGCGTTCGATTTTGTCATTCTCCTTCTCCTTCCTTGAAATTAATCGACGGTGTGCCCCCCCCCCCATTTGCGTTACATACGTACTGTGCTTTTTGTCTTCACAACCACACGGCTTCTAGCATCCGTCACCACCACGAGGCGTCCCTCAAAGCGGGCTAATTTTTTTTTTGTCCTGGAGAACCAGCTGGATGAAGCAGAACGTTAACACTTACCAACGCTTGTTACATTGTGTTTTGCACTGCAAGCTTACTCGTAGCTGTGTGTACTAATTGATTTTTCTGCGAGTTCTTTCTCCCCCTACCGTAGCGGTCTTGGCTTGTAGATGTGGCCCTAGTGGTAGTCGGCGATCACAGCCCCCCTGCCTGTAGGCGTAGTCGCCCCGTCACCGCCCCGCTTCGTCGTCGACGTCCTAGACGACGTCCTAGACGTCCCTGACGCACTCGTTGACGCTTGTTGTTGCTCGCACAGCCGCCGCCCCGGTGATGGAGACGCCGCCGCAGAACGTGACGGTGCTGGACGGCAAGGACGCCACCCTGAGCTGCCGCGCGGCCGGCTCGCCCGCCCCCAACACCACCTGGGTCTTCATGGGTACGTACAGCACAGTGGCGCGACACGGCCCTGCGGCTTGCTGAGCTTGGCACCGCCTCGATGCTGACCGCTGCCCCACCCTGCCCGTGACTGACAGCCCGACAGCACGTAGAGCAGTAGACTAGGTAGACGTGTCGCGTAGCGTTGTCGCGTAGCCGCCCAGTCGAAGCAACGGCAGTATCTTTAGTGCTAGCTCGGCGAGTTGGAGTTACAGTGCACACCTCCCCTGCCTCCCCTCACGTTTGCTTTGCTTGGGGCCCTCCGCAGATGGTCAAGATGGTCCGGATGGTTACGGACGGGGACAGATCCTGGACTCCGGCGACCTGCTGGTGCCCGCCGTGCGGCGCTCCGACCAGGGGAAGTACACCTGCACCCGCTCCAACGAGGCCGGCTCCGTGACGGCGTCCGGCTACCTCGCCGTCCTGGGTACGTGCACGACCACGGCGTCGACCCCCTCACAGCTTGCGCCCCCCAGCGGCCCCACGCTCGCACGCCGAACACGCGGCCCAGCTTGTCGGACGCGAACGTGACGGTTGTCTTTGTGTGCAGTGAGGACCCAGATCGCCCAGCCGCCGGCGGACACCCGGGTGCTCCTCGGGCACACCGCCACCCTGCAGTGCAGAGTCTCGGGGGACTCGTCCGTGCCGTACCGCTTGTCCTGGTCACGAGGTTTGGAGTGAGTATTCCCTTGGAGTCGGCCGCGGGTCGCGGGTTCGAGTCCCGCCAGGGGCTTGCCTAAACTTTTTTTTTCCCGGCTCCAGGCTGATCGGCGAGGTGAACGGCGCGGCGCCGAGCAGCCAGCGCATCACGGTGGGCGCGGACGGCACTCTGGAGATCCAGGCGGTGCGGGCGTCCGACGTGGGGGACTACACGTGCGCGCTGAGCAGCGCGGGCGGCAACGAGACGCGGGTGGCGCGCCTGTCCGTGCTCGAGCTGCCCTTCGCGCCCACCAACGTGCGCGCCTCCAGGAACGAGCTGGTCTCCCCCAGGGCCATCAACGTGAGCTGGGCGCCCGGCTTCGACGGCAACAGCCCCGTGCTCAAGTACATCGTGCAGAAGCGCGAGGTGTCCGACCTCGGTGAGTGAAAAAGACAAGACTCGGACGTTGACGAATGACTGCTCCGACTCCGGCCGAATGCTAATGACGGTGTCGTGTGCTTTGCCGCTTTGCCCCTACAGAACTGCCCGCCTCGCTCATCCAGTGGGTGACGGAGCTCTCCAACGTGTCGGCGTCGCGGCGCTGGGTCTTGCTGGAGAACCTCAAGGCGGCCGCGCGCTACCAGTTCCGCGTCAGCGCCGTCAACTCCGTGGGGGAGGGCTCCCCGTCAGAACCCAGCAACATCCTGGAGCTGCCCCAGGAAGGTTTGTCCCTGTCCCCCCAACATTCTGTTTATTTAACTGTTAGTGCTTGTTTCAAGATAAAAATTGTAAACCCATTTCTTTGCAGCTCCTTCTGGACCGCCGCTTGGTTTGGTGGGCTCTGCCAGGTCCTCCTCTGAAATCATCACCCAGTGGCAACCGCCTCTGGAGGAGCACCGCAACGGACAAATACTCGGCTACATGATCCGATACCGACTGCATGGCTACACTGGAAGCCCATGGACTTATAGGAATATTACAAATGAGGCTCAACGGAATTGTCTTGTGCAGGAGTTGATCACTTGGAAAGACTATGTGTTTCAAATTGCAGCATACAACAATAAAGGTCTTGGAGTGTTCAGTGAGGGAGTCAAAATTAAAACTAAAGAAGGAGGTTTGTGGTTTTCTAATTCACATAATTAAAGTATAGTTAATCCCAAGATTAGTTCATGTTTAAATTGTGGAAATGCATTTTCAGTTCCTGAAGCCGCACCAACTCAAGTGAGAGTTGTTTCTCTCAACTCAACATCTATCCAAGTGTGGTGGCGTCCACCTGATCCACAGAAAATCAACGGTATCAACCAAGGATACAGACTTCAAGCATGGAAAGGCGATCCTGCAACAGAAGAGGAGGCTGCACGGATGGAGACAGTTCCACCCAGCCTCTTTGACCCTTTGGCTGAGCAGACTGCTGTTATAGGGGGCCTAGAAAAATATTGCGAGTACAATGTTACTGTTTTATGCTTCACTGACCCAGGCGATGGTCTGAGAAGTGCACCAGTGGTAGTGCGAACAAATGAAGATGGTTTGTATTTGATGACTCACATGCAATCATGAGTGACATTAGCCATTAGTGCAACTTATTGTTTCCTGCCTTACAGTTCCAGATGAAATTTCCAATCTCCAATTTGATGAGGTGTCAGACCGAGCTGTTACTGTGAAGTGGTCTCCTCCACGTTTTACCAATGGTATTCTGACTGGATATCAATTATCTTATCAAGTGAAGGACATGCCTGACACACTCAAGGTTCAGAATTTGACTGATGATGTTCATAAGTTGAAAGTAGAACACTTGCAGGTAAGCAGATACCTATTCATCTGATGTATTGATTGTTTCTCTCCTGCCTTTTACTTTTTATTTCATTCAAATTTGCTTAATAATTCTTTATTTTTATTCCGTAAAGGCAACAACTCATTATGTGTTTACCCTCCGTGCTGCTACTTCTGTGGGACTTGGAGTCGCCAAAGTAGCGTCACTTCAGTCTGGTGTGGAGCCTGTTCTTCCTCGACCACCCACTAAGCTAGCAGTCACTAACATTGAAGCATTTTCAGTGGTACTTCAATTTACTCCTGGTTTTGATGGCAATTCCTCCATCATTAAGTGGACTGTGGAGGTATTTATCAAGATTTGGTTTCCTTTTGCCACCATGTGAATTTTTAATAGAAAGATTAACACTCTTTATTATAATTACAGGCGCAGACTGCGAGGAACAGCACATGGCTCCCTGTCTATGAAGAATCAGCACCTGATGCGACAACTCTGATCATTAACAAACTGACACCATTTTCACTTTACAAACTTCGCCTTATTGCTAATAATGTAGTTGGTCCTAGTGAGCCTTCAGAACCAACCAAAGAATTCCAGACTATTCAAGCTCCCCCTGCTCATCCACCGTACAATGTCACTGTACGTGCCATGTCAGCAACAGAGCTCCGAGTTCGCTGGATTGTAAGTTGATTTTAAAAGTAAATGCATCACCCTATCCTTACAATTTCGTTGTGTATTCACATCTAATATTTTCACTTTTTTCCTGTAGCCTCTTCAACAAATAGAGTGGTTTGGCAATCCTCGTGGATACAACATAACTTTCAAAGAAATTACGGCTCCTGGCAGTCTTCCTGTTCAGCCTCGTAGTGTTAGCATTGAAGACCACACTGCAAACAGTCACATTCTGAATAAACTTGAAGAGTTTGCACTTTATGAAATCGAAATGAGGGCTTTTAACGATGTAGGGTCGTCTCAAGCAAGCCCTAAAGCAGTTGAAAGAACTCGCGAGTCAGGTAATGGCCTAGCTTTTCTTTGCATTTGTGTCTCCATCCTCATATCATCACAACCCAATTAACTTACCATTGTCTATGCCTTACAGTCCCCTCCTTTGGACCTATGAATGTTGAGGCCAACGCAACATCGTCAACCACTGTTGTTGTGCGATGGGGAGAAGTACCTCATGAGCATTGCAATGGCCAAATTGAAGGATACAAGGTACTATTTATTAAAATAAAATACTGTACATTTTCTAGTTTTATTCAATTTTAAAATGCTAGATCTGATAATGTTGTGCTTCTCAATTTCAGGTTGCTTACTATGCAGCTTCTGCTCCAATGGGTGTTAGAACAGGGTCAGTGTCAGTGCAGTATAAAAGCATTGCTAGCAATTCGACATTTACCACCACCCTAACAGAATTGAGAAAGTATGTTCAGTACAACATTCAAGTACTTGCATTTACCCGCCTTGGAGATGGAGAACTCTCCGCACCACCGGTTCGAGTTCGCACTTTCGAAGACAGTAAGTCACTATACCTGCCCTTTCAAATTTTAAAATTATTTATTGCTTTTTTTTTTTCATTTACTTTACAATTTTTAAAATCTTTCTAGCCCCTGGTGCTCCTTCCAATGTATCCTTCCCTGATGTCTCTCTCACAACTGCACGAATCATTTGGGATGTCCCTGACGAGCCTAATGGCGAAATTTTAGCATACCGAGTAACCTATCACCTTGAGTCAAAGGGCAGTGCTTACAATTTCTCTCGGGAGTTCCCCCCATCTGACCGCACTTACAGGTTTGTTACACGTATTTATTAGAATTTTTTTTTGTCATTTTGAGAAAAGATAGCATTACTATCATTAACTCATTAATTTGTTTACAGAGCAACCGAATTGCAGCCAGAACAGTATTACATGTTTTCTGTCACTGCACAAACTCGCCTGGGATGGGGCAAGACTGCCACGGCTTTAGTTTTGACTACAAACAACAGAGAGGTTCCCCAACCTCCATCAGCACCCCAAGTTTCACGGAGCCAGGTTCAAAGTGCTCACATCACATTCAGCTGGACACCTGGCCGGGATGGTTTCGCCCCTCTCAGGTATAAATCAATTTTGTCCGTATATCCTGCTTAAAATTTACGTAATATTAACAAAAAATTTAATTCTTTTTTCTGTTTTCAGATATTATACTGTGCAAATGGCAGAAGGTGGGAGTTCATGGCAGACAATCCCAGAGAGAGTGGACCCAGGAACAACTTCGTATACAGCTGTTGGCCTGAAGCCCTTCACCTCATATCGATTCCGCATTCAAGCAAACAACGACATTGGCGCTAGTGGCTGGAGTGCAGAGAGTGCTGAAGTTCGAACTCTTAGTGCTGCTCCCTCAAAAGCAGTTAGTGGTTTGAAGGTGGTTCCAATCACAACCACTAGTGTTGAAGTTCATTGGAATCCTTTGCCAGAAGCAGCTTGGTCAGGAGATGTTGTGACAGGTGGTTACAGAATAGTATATCAACCTGGTTCAGAATTTCCCACTGCTCTTCAAGCTACACCTAAAGAAGAATCAATGGGCACTAATGTAAGACATTCCTCTTTTAAAAACTTACTTCTGTACTTTTGTTTTAATCCTTGATCATTAGCTTTAACATGCATTGTTTTCTGCAGTCCTCTAGAATTGTTCTTGCTGGCCTAACTCGGGATAAAAACTACGAAGTGGTAGTCCTTGCATTCAACTCACAAGGTGCTGGTCCAGCCAGTCCCCCTGTCACTGTTTATGTTGGTGAGGCTGTGCCCACTGGAGAACCTCAGGCTGTGGAGGCCGAACCCTTGTCACCAACAGAGGTTCGTCTAAAATGGAAACCTCCAACTCAGAGTCAGCAAAATGGGGACCTGCTTGGCTACAAGGTATGCATTGCTGAGGATACTTGTATTTTGTGCATATTGTACAAAAACCATTTTCAATGGAATGTTTCTAATTTTAATATTTCTTTCTTAGATTTATTACCTAGTGACAGAATCCCCTCAGCCATTGGATGATCATGTGACTCAAGAGGAGGAGCTTGAAGTTGTTCCAGCAACATCTCATTCACATAGCTTGGTCTTTTTGGACAAATTTACCCAGTATCGCATATCCATGCTAGCATTTAACCCTGCTGGAGATGGTCCTAGGTCCAAACCCATCACAGTTAGAACTCTGCAAGGGCTTCCAGGACCTCCAACAAATTTATCCTTCTCTGAAATCACTATGAGCAGTGTCAGGGTGTCGTGGGACCCACCAAAGAAGCGCAATGGAGAACTTGTTGGCTACATAGTGACTTATGAAACTGCTGGGCAGAACGAACGTAAGTAATGAAAACTGCTTTCTTCAAACTGAAATTTTATCGCTAAGAAAGTCAACTAATATCATTGCTTTTTTTTTTACAGAATTTAGCAAACAGGTGAAGCAGAAAGTTACAGGCACGAGCCTCTTAGTACAGACCCTGGAAGAGGAAGTGACCTATTTAGTGACTGTGAGAGCCCAAACCATTGACTATGGTCCTGCTTTTAGTGCCAATGTGACAACTGGCCCTCAAGATGGTTCTCCTACTCGACCAAAGGAACTGGTTTTGGGAAAAACACTTACAAGTGTTGACATGCATTGGGTCAATAGTGCATCAGGAAGAGGGCCAATTCTTGGCTTCTATATTCAGAGCAAAGCTAAAGGTTTGTGTCCTGATTTTATTTTAACCCTATACAGTATGACACACATGACTTTTATTTTACTTTATTTCAATTTTTCTGTTTTCAATTTTTTCCTAATAATAAACAGTCCATCAAGTTTGGCAACAGCGTAAGTCATGCCAATCGCTATTTTGCCTAGTGTGAATGGTGTGAGCACTTTTAGTTTATGTGTCCTCTTGTCACACACATGGAAGTCCCCTTTTTCCTTTAAACCTCATGACCAATTAGCAAAGTTTTGTTATGTTTTTTCTGGTTGATAAATTTGCACATTCTTATTTTCCACTAGAATTGAGTTTTTGTGTTTGATTAGTCTGATATTCTAAAATACTTTAGTTAATTGCAAGACTTGTGATACTGTTTTCTTTGTAGGAAGACTCTTTTGCAATTTGTTTGCAGCATTTTGATTGATTGACTTTTCATCTTTAGTTGTATACTTCATTCTTAATTGTATACTTTTACTTATGTGTCTTTTTTCTTTTTCTTTTCTTCAGAGGAAAGTCGATGGACCACAGTGGCGAGAACAGCAAACGGACCACTTCAAGATTTCAGTGTGTCATATCAAAATCTTCTGCCATCTACATCCTACCTTTTTAGAGTTATTGCATATAACAAGTATGGTGTTAGCTACCCAGCCTACTCAGAAGATGTGGTATGAACAGTTTTCTCTCCATTTTTTAATCATTCCATTTATTACGGCAGTGAATTTTAAATGTTTTTGTTTTATTGGCAGATATTGACACCCTCAAAGTTATACCTTGAATATGACTATCTCCAGCAAAAGCCGTTCTATCGACAAACATGGTTCATGGTGGCACTTGCTGCTTGCTCTGTTATCATTATTATATGTGTCATTGCTGTACTGTGTGTGAAGAGTAAGAGTTACAAGTACAAACGTGAGTGTCACATAAAGTATTCATTTCGCACCTCTGTTTCTATACTTCTAAGGAAGTTTCTAATTCAATACCTGATGTTGTTATTGCAGAGGAAGCCCAGAAAACACTTGAAGAATCTATGGCTATGGACATGGACGATCGGCAGGAGTTGGCCCTTGAACTATATCGATCAAGGCATCAGGCAGGTGCAGTTGGGCCATGTGCAATGGGTACAATGGGAAGACGGAACACACTGGGACGGAAAACTGCCCCAGTCCACCCAGGTCCACCTGCTCCAATGATGGGCAAATCACCACCGAGGCCCTCTCCAGCTTCAGTTGCTTATCACAGTGATGAGGAGAGCTTAAAGGGTTATGATGAAAACCCAGATGACAGCAGTGTTACAGAAAAACCATCTGAGATAAGCTCTTCTGATTCTCAGGTAAAAATACAATTCTTTAAAAGTCCATCTTTCATAGAAAAATATTATTTTCATGTATCACTAATTCAATCTCTATTTCTGTTTACAGGGTTCTGAAAGTGAGCCAGAGAGTGAGCGTTCTGATCCTCACTCATTTGTTAACCATTATGCAAATGTCAATGATTCCTTACGTCAATCCTGGAAGCGGCAAAAACCTGTTCGAAATTATTCAAGTTACACGGACTCTGAACCAGAGGGAAGTGCTGTCATGAGTTTGAATGGTGGACAAATTATTATGAACAATATGGCCAGGTCACGTGCACCACTGCCAGGTTTTTCGTCATTTGTGTGATCTCCCAGTCTGAGTGAACTGTCAGTCGACATGTTAGTCTAAGATTTTATAAAAATGACACTTTGTGTCAGTTGTCTTTCAGTTAGAAAGGTGTGCCAAAGTATGTTTTTGATTTTCTGAGAAAAAAGAGATTAAGAAAATGTGAACTTTGCAGAGTGGTGCATGTGCTGAAACTTTTGTCCAACAGTTGATTATTGTTTTAGTGGCTGATGATTTTTGTATTGCCCTTGCGAGCAACTAGTGGTATTGGCCATGTTGTGAAGTGTAGCAACTAAACAGATATGCTGCCTCTTATCTGTGATACAACAGCTTCTATTTAGTTTTAACAATGTTAAGTGGGGCCATGTGCCTTTTGGTAGGATGTTGCCAAGTGTTCTTGTTAAAATACTACTTTTAGCCAATTTTTATATTTTAAGATGACCTGTGATTTTATATTTTGCCATCACTTTTGTCCTAAAAAAAGTAAGGCAATAGAATATGTTTTGTGATTAGTATTTTATCAATTTACTTAATTTTTCATCAAATGAGCTGCAAAACTTGACTGCAGATCTGAATTTGAAGACTTGTATACTTCTGTTACACTGTAGATTTCTAATTGAATCATTATGTGAATACTGTATAATGTGAATTGTTGTACTGTTGATTGGACTTTGTATCCCAATGGAATTTTATGACTGATGTGTTAATATTTGAGAAACTCAAGTAGCATTAGCCAAATCTGTTCTTAGGTGGAAAAAAAATCACATCCACATGGGATATTTAAATAATTTTGAAATGTACGTGTATATTAACCATAGTTATTTATTGCAATGATCTCTGTCTATATGGTAGCATTTTCTGCACAGTGTTTGCGCATATGCCATATTTGTAAATGAATGTCTTTGAAATTGATTACAAGCAACTCATCTTTGTAGTGATGACACTTCTGGTTGGCTTTCTCTCTTGCAATTGACCCTTGTCTCCAGTGAAGATTATGTTGTCAAATTGTTGTCAATGGCAACTGAGAAAGCGCAGAGGCTTGTTACCAATGAGACAAATCACCTTAACCCATTCCTGCTCAGAGCTGATCTTAAGCAATGGTTCAATTTTCATTTTTTTAATACCTACAGTACTTAATGATTGCAATGAGCATCAATGGGTTGGGTTTCAGAGTTTGTTTCACCTGTATTTTAAGTGTTCATAAAATAATTTTCTTTTCTCTTTTGTCTTGGGGAACTGTTGCCATATGACCATCCGTCCCTAAGAAATCTTTGTAAATATTTTTTCCATTCAATCAGACTTTTCAAACCAATGCAGTAATTAAATATTGTCATACCCCACATTCACTGCCAAGATGTCCTCTTTATGCCGTCTTTTTATGAAACTGTTTGTAATTGGCTTTTGTAATAAATATTTTGTTACAAATATGGAAACTACTGCCATTGAATTATTTATTTCCTGATTTCCTGACACAAGGCTGCCTTCTACGTTGCCTCATGTTAATGGACAGTCGACAGAAACCAACGTATTTTAATGAAATTTTGAGCTAGCATTGAACTTCTTTTCTTGCACCAACGGTACTCGTTAGCCAGAGGCCTCCAGTACCAGTAACCCACGAAAACGATCACCGATCTGGTGCCAGCGCCAAACCAAAAGGTCCCGCGCGCGCGCATGACCTCCCTAACCCCCCCCCTCACCCCATCCTCCCCCGCTTCACTAGAAACCAAGTGACGTCACTCGAAGTCGCAGAGCCAAACATAAACATGGCGGCTGTCGTGCGAGTAAAACGCGCCTTGAACGAGGAGCCAAGCGGCGCATTGATTCTTTCGTGTAAACGGAGAAAAACAGAGGCTGAAAATGGAGACGCTGTGGATACTGTATTCAAATTTGCCGGCACTGTCAAGGATCAGGTATGCGTCGCTGCAAACCCGTCCTAACCTCACCCTTCTCATGGTGTTTTTCTAGGTGCCCGAACCACATCCCACTTGTAAGGTGTCGTTTCTACTGTTGCAGTTTTTGACCTTCCAACTGTGCTCTCTGATTGATTAGACACAACTCATTCCCTGTATCCTGAGTTTCCAATGACTCACAAACTGCTCCAACTGTGTGTCGAAAATGTACTCTGAACCACTATTCACTATTTTTCTGTTTCAGGAGGAAAATATTGCTTTGCTCCATCCAGATAAGCTCACTAAGGCCGATGTGAAGACTGCTTCTACACCTGTACCTAATTTGTTGGGAAAAGTTCGTGCTCAGGCTAAGGCGTCTTCACAAGGGAATCGGTATAAGGTAAAAGGATCCCAAAATGGCAAGACATGTTTGATTTAGTGAAGTTACTTGATTTAATGGAAATGAAATAACTCATTTCAGCTGGTAAACTATTTCCGAACCCTTGGGTCCAAGGATGAAAGTGATCCTGAAAAAGATGGCAACCAAAATTCCATAACTGTGCTTGATGTTGAATCTCAATTGGATTCAAAGAATGTAATTATTTATGCACTTCTGTCCTATTGTTCTTGTGTTAAATTTTTATGTATAGCTGGGATAAGTTGATCATGTTGAATGTCATTGCTTCAGGTTGAAAAGGATTCTAAGGCTTCAGAAAATCAGTTTGATGGAAACTCTAAAGATCCTCAGTATGTTTATGACTTGTATTATATTGAGGCTGATGCCAAAGACATTGATGTGGATGATTTAATGTTGGATGGCCTTGTTAGGTAAGTCTTAAGTTGTTACATTTTTCTGTTTAAACAAATTATCCTTGCAAATTACCCTAAAAAGTTACAAAATAAACATTTTATTGGTGTCGCTGACAGCTTTGCTCCAGTCGAGAATGAATTGGTTTTTGATACCTATCGAAATAACAGAGCAGAAGGCGGAAACAGTGATAGTGATTCACCTCTTATGGATGATGATGATGATTCCAATGATGAAAATAATTGGAGAAATGATTATCCAGATGATGAAGAAGGAGGAGATAGGTAAAGCATCTGCATATTTTATTAAAGCTTTGCCATTGAGTTTGCAGTGGTTAATTAAGTACATTCACACACTAAATGATTTTGTGCTTCATAGTGCATATGCATAATTTATTTTTGAACTTTTGCAGTGATGGAGATGGTGGCCTTGCGAGTCGTTTTGGAAAAGTCACATTTGGTAAGTCATATTTATTAAAATTGTGACCATGTCACTATGCAACAATTTAGACACTAACAAGCCATGCTTCTGTTTCATCAGGAGATCACGAGCTGAGCAGTGATAGTGATGATGAAAGATTAATATACAATGAAGAGTTATCACCAAGTGATGTACGAATGTATGGTTTAGCTTATGCAAAATTTAAGAAGAATGCTCTCAAAGAGTTGGATTCTAGCACTGAAATTAATTCTAATTCTGATGAAGACGAGTACAGTAAGAGCGATGCTGATTCTGACGAAAATGACTGATTCAGATAGGTACGGTAAATTATACAGCTAACTATTTATTCTTCTGCCAATTCCTATGTAAATATTTACTTAAGAATTTTTATTTCATATTAAAGTTGGGCCTTTTTAACTCATTCTTTGGTTAACTTGTTCCTTACATTCTCTCTGCATATAAAACAGAAAAATTAAAACAAGTTTTGTGTCCAGTCGACTGAAATATTAACAGCATCCTTCATCTCAGAATCTACTAGAAGTATGCCCATTAATTGAGCATGTCTGAGAAGTAGAGGCAGCAAAGACATGCACAATATTCAGTCAATAGTAATGTTAGGCAAAATATTTCAAGTTCTACCACCTGCAACTAATCTGTAAGGGTCAGCAAAAGCAGTTTATAGGTGTTCAAAGATAAAAAGAGTTCACTCATACAATTTATCAAGTCTGCCATTATTATTTAATTTTAAGGAACATTGCAGAGCAGCTGTACTCTGACTCGGCCGTAACCCATCAAACTGTGGGCCTTTCCTTGTGTTTGAAAACCAGGCCTTGGACCGCGGCCCATAAACCCCATGACAGAAGTATGTGGTCAGTAAATTGATGGTATGATCCAGTTTCCCACCCCCACTACCCCCCAGGGTGCAAGCGTGAAAAAGAGGTGCTGTTGTAGGTAAGCACATTCAATCAATTACTAAGATTAGCATGTATCTTTGATAAAAGGCGAGTGATAGCTCTTGGTTTATATGTTATTTACGTCCATGGAGTTAAAGCTAAACTATATTTTCTTATAATATCAGTGGCCTATTCCCTTGAACTCCTCTCACTTTTCTGTGTTTCTGCATTTGTTTATCAGTAAGACTTGTTGGTCAGATTGGGAGAAATCTGAAACTGCAATTTCAGGTCAAATTTCTGCTCTATGAAAACCATTTAACAGTACTTGTAAAAAATCTTTATGGTTTTTCCATACTGCACAGTTTTTAGTGAAACACCTGAATCTGTGGCACTTTCTCACAAGTTGCACATCATGCCAAGCATAGTACTTGTATTTCTTACTTTTCTACACAGAAAGAAATGTAAAGAACTAATAGTATTTATACCTTAAAGTACAGCCTTCCCAAACAGACAATTAGAATGCATTTCTCAAAAAGCTACAGGAAGATATATTTGTACCCTGTATATTAGCAGTAACTAATACTGTAATCTACTTCTAAACCGACCATGGCTTACTTTGAGTAAAGGCATCTAATAAAGCAATTCTTTAGGCAGTACAAAATGTCATTTTAGTCTTGCTATGCAGTGAGCAATCAAGAAGAGGTCAAGGCTTAATCCGCACCAATTACTGTAAAATGCAGTTGTGCACATATGGTGCTTAAAAGTTACATACTTTATGATGGATTTTCGATTCCATAGTTAACTACTGAATTAATTAATTCACTTTCAAGAAAAAGTTTATACAAGGAATGAAATATTTCTTTTTTTACGGTTAAAAACGAGTGGAATTCTCATGGAAGGAAGCGTGAAATATCCTCATTTCCCTAATAGTAGTCAAGACACTACTTGGGCAAGAATAAATTACAGCCATTTGGGGTGAATCTGTGGACATAAGGCACTAGAAAAAGAAATGCAATAATTAAAGTAATGCATCTTCTACACATCACAAGCTTTTAAACATAAGGTTTAGAATTCACCATAAAGATTCACCCTGTAATAGAATGGTATATAAGACAATTAAGGTGGCATTGACTTCCTTGAGCAATTACAATGGATGCACTAGCCATAAAATGTTAATGGCCGACTGTAGCATGTATCTTATGTGCCTCAGAACCTAAGTTATTTATTTTCTTTCTTTTTTTTTTTTTTTTGAAAATAAGTGCAAAATAGATGTGCTATATTTGTAACAAGGAAAGTATGAATGTATAAAAGACACTTTGTTTGGGGAAGTTGTCCAAAGAACACATCAAAAGGAGAAGGTAAGAATATTAGTGTACAAATAATGTGCAAAAAAATTATTGACTATGAGGCTTATATTGTCCTTTCAGACAACGGTAATGGTCACTCAATTTCAGCCTCACAAGGTGGAAAGTTCTTTTAACAGTCTCACCTCACACAAACCGCTAAGCCATCCTGAATGCACAAAATTCATTATTTAGATCTTGTCTGCTATAATGGACTTCAATTTGTGCTAGCTGCAGAATGAAGAGCGCAAGAACCCTTGGGACACTTTGTCTCTCAATAGAACACACTACAGGGGGTGTTCACACAACAAACACACGCAATATGCACTCAGTGACAGAGAAGACCTAGCGAGAAATAAATGTATCACACGCATCAGATAGTGTGGTTCATCACAAATATCACACATTGCAGAATATAACTAAACACAGCCTTCATGGAATAAGGCACATGGTTGCACTGACCCAGCTAAAGATGGACATGCTGTTTACTTGTAGATCCTTACAAAACAGTTCACACAAACAAAGTTTTAATTCTTTAGCTTAATTTTTTAATTTGTGAGGTCACTTCACACCATGTTTCTTTGGAATAAAACTGTCAAGAAAAAAACTGCAGCATTCTTGAAAGTACACCTTATTCAAAAAAAGCTCCTAAAACGAATTTTTGACAATTCTAAGTCCTAGGTATGAAGTTACAAAAAGTTTCAATGGGACTCATATCATGGAAGCTACCATGATTTTTATGATAACGTGGACTTGGTAGTTTTGTTTGAATACAACAATATTTTACCCTTCAAAGAGAAAGAAAGTCTGGAAGCTTTATAAAATCTACTTTAACAATTACAATTTTTTAACACATGCTCCCTGCAGGACGTAGCACTAACAGAAATGTATCCATGCAGAAATTTGTGAAATGGTAATTAATGAGGTTTACAAGATAATATTGAGTTTTGCGACGTTGCGAAACTTCTAACCATTTATGAACAAAAATATACCGAATAATAGTATATTGATTAGCTTCTAAAATAAAGTGAAGAAACCACCTATGAGTGAAAAAGTCAATACTTAAACAGGAAATATTTGCATAAATTGTTACAATTGAGTGTACCAGGTGAATAATTAGTCCCCATGACTTCCTTTCTTATTTTTTTCAGGACTAGCTGGAGGTGGAAGTTCGTCATGTAAATGTTGCTTAATTTTAGTCGCATTGCATTGAGTAAGGAAGTAGTTAGCACCGACTATAAACAGTTTGCACGCCAAAGGGCAGAGCAGCATCTGATGTAGGGTGCCCCATATTCTGTAGTTTGGTCCAGAAAATGGATCTTTTGATGCAGGGCACAGCATCTTATTAAGATTTATTTCAGAGGGCTGAAAATGGAGAAAGTCACATGTGACAATTTTCTTATGATAAAATTACGTTAAGGCATTAGCTGAGGGGAATAGTATACTTACCAAGCCTAGACCTTGCAATATCACAAAGTGGTACATGATAAGCAATCCATATGAAAAGATGCACCAGCTTAAGTCAGAAAGTGGCTCCATATTGTAAACACCTGAAAAGAACAAATACCAAGAAGCAATGGCACTTCCATGATTGAATTTTAGAAGAAATCATTTACCTCCAAGGCGAAGCATATAGAAGGGTGCAATAACCATCAGTCCATGTTGTGCCCAGTACACAAATAGCTCACACGGTAACTGCAAGACAAACAAAAAAAAGCAACCAAGTCAATATTGAAAGCCAGTCATTCCATTAATCCCATAAAAATTGAATTATTGGCTCTACCTGTCTTGACAATGTTTCTGGAAACACTGTTGCTAGAATTGGACCATTCAGAAAATTTAGATGTATCCGAAAAGCTGATGTTAACAGTTTACTTGGCTGGCCTACTAATAGGTAAATCTGAAATTAAAGTAAACACTCAGATATCCTTTCATGCCGTCCCTCATTAAGGTGTGTAACTTCATGAGAGACATTACCTGAATTGCAGTTGTGACATGACATGGGTTCAGCAGAAATATTGTGCTTTGGGCTTGCAATTTGAAACCCACTTCACAGCCAATCACTAAACACATCGACATTAGCAAGATATTGCGACCCCAGCGGTCTCTCCATTGTAGGGGTGATGGTTTAACAACGGGAGACAGATTTTTCCATCCGATCCATATTAACAGACCCGCAAATGCTACGCCAAAAATTGTTTCCCATATCCTTCTTTGAACAGGTAGATAGTTGGCACATTCTGGTCCACCTGTACTTGGAACTGATAGGTTCACACCTTTGTATGTGAACTCCAACATTTTTCTGCAAAACAGATCGTTCTCTTAAAGGTCTTGACATTTAAAAGACAGGATATGCACAGAAACAATAGAATTCTTTCCTGTTATTCTTTTTTGAATTTTTTTTTGCAAGAGTCTCTATTTAATAAGGAACTAGCTAATTATATTGAAACTTGTGAGGCACTTCGTCATGTTATGTCAATATTCAGTCAATATTCTGCCTGGCAATCATGACAAGACATGGCCTTGACATCGTGAATCGAGCCAACCCGTATACACGCATGGGCACACTGATATCAACAATACAAAAATAGGTATAACAATGTGCTTCAAGAAAACTCCAAAATACAGTTAACAAATTTGAACAAGCAGAGTAGTGATAGAGTAGTCTGCTACTAGCAGCCGACGTACCTCATATATCATCGGTTTTTAATTGCGCTGTTGATGTCGATGAGACTGCATCGACTATAATTGACAACAATGATTATCCATTCAATAAATTCTACCTGCAGACCTTAAAAATTTCATATTAAAACACGGAGGGCTTCATTTTCTGAGCTTTACAAAATGTCAAATCCCTTCCCCCCTCCTGGGTCACGGCCAGCTGGGTACTGTAACGGTTCACCAGTGCTGCTCCCTGGCGGGCAAACGCGGCACCACGGTCCTAACAGGGGATGTCGCACCTTTTGCCTATACGCAGGCGTTTTGAAAGTCACAAGTACTCCGAAAATCAATGGACGAATGAATATAATTTTGGAATGCAAATTAATGCAGTGATTTTCTTTCGCAGTTGCGAGTAGGACTTCGGCCGACACTATCGCATCATCGCATACCATGACCACTGCCACTTCTACTTGGGGGTGGTCTTGAAGCCAGGGTGGAACAGAGAGAGAATGAAGGAGATGAAAATGCACTTTCATAATAGTTTTATTAATAGTAGTTTAATTTAAGGCGGGGAAGGAGCAGTGACATTTATTACAGTCTGCACAAATAGCCCAACGCCAAACTAACACACATTTCTACCAACAATAATACTGCAGGCAGCATTACAACAGGAACAATAATCTACTGCTCATGTATTTTGAATAACTACATCCATTCACTGGGGATCATTAGGACATCCACTCAGTTATATACATGCAGCCTCAAATGGAGGCTTCATAGCCAAATTTTCAACATGTGCTGCAGATATGTTTCATACACAAATATGCACAAATGGCACACCTCCATTAAAAGTTTATAGAGCCTCACAGACAGGGATTGTGAGTCAACAACACTGTTGGCATGTTTTTAGAGAAGCATCTGAATATCACAAAAAAAGAACATACATATAGGTATATAACAGTGACTTATAAAGCACTTCTAACATGATTTCCAAGAATAACATTTCATTTAATTCATTTATTTGATTTGGTACTTTGCAGATCATTAAAAATGAGACAAGAGTCACAACACCAGCTTAAGCTGCAGGTTCATCACACAAAAATTCATTAAAACAGAGGTGTTTTCTTGCCTGTCTTAACAATAACATTTCAATTTGAACTTCCAAATTCAGATACACAAGAAATATTTATTTACAACTTTTAAAAAGTGCCTTGACAATAAAGGCAGGAATGTTGGGCATATTTTGTTTCTGATTGCTAATCTTGACCACAGATACACTTTGCAAGCTCGTATGATCATATGATTAAATACTGAAACATTGGGACGTTGATTTCCAACAATAAAACAATATTTACAATTAAGCAGGTATTGCATAGAACCACTTTAACAGCATATCAATATATTCAAAAATAATCTGCAGAAGAGTTAGGAATGAATAATTTGGTCATAAGCTTGGAAGACACCACCAGCTACATCCAAAGCTCTGGTCTTCAATGAGAGCTGCAAATAGAACAGACATGGGTTATATAAGGTGAAATCAGCAATATGCTTCATTGAATAATTTCATATCGAAGAACAATTTCTTACAGTAATATTGGGGTTTCCAGGTTGAATCTTCAGTTCATTTAGAACCCAAATTCCATTTGTTAGCTTAAGTGACTGGTACAGCATATCTTGTCCTTCTACATTCCTCTTGGCAATGGTAAAAACATTGTTCTGCTGCATTTTGGCGACAACAGCATCTGTTGATTTTTAGGAAAACAATGGTACATTGAAGCAGTGACACTACATTTGCCTGAATTAAACCAAACCAAATAAGAGAAACAGAAAAACTGACCTGGATTGCACTGCACATCTGTCAAAGTAAACTGAACTTCATTTTGTGCTGGTATTTCTTTCCATGTGTTAAGGAATACCCTCTTGTCCATTTGACCATCCTCGCAGAAATACACATTCATTGGAACAACGCAGGCAAAATAGAAAATGTCTATGTTATTTTTAATCGCAACCTGTAACAACCAGAGAACTTAATGAAGTATACTGCTTTTGATGCTTGACCCTGAATCAGTGAATAGACACCACAATAAGTACACACTTGAAGGTTTGTTAGTGGGTCCATTCTCTGGACAGCGCCAGTGGTGGCAAGAGTTAGGGAAGCCTCATGTGACATTCCTGGTGCCAGAGGGGACATCACTTGCAGAGGAGCCGCAGGCGTAAGGCCAAAGCTGGGGAAACAAAGGCAAAATCAATACAAAGTAACAAACTTCCCTAGTCACTTACACCTGCAATGCATTTCTTATACCTGTTTTTGTTCAGTTGCACAGCAAAGCCTCCCATAGGCTGCATTGCTTTGTTTGTAAATGTGAAGTCCATTGATATCTGACCACTCCTACAAAACGAGAAAGACATACCATAGAACCATGTTGCTAAAAAACCTGAGAGATCAGGCAAGATAATAAAATGAATGAACGACAACAGAGTGACATACTTGCGAGAGAAGGTTCCCCAGACGTCCATGCCTTTTCCTTTTTCAGCTGGCAGCCAGTTGACTTTGGGAGCAACATACATTGAGGGAGCAGCAGAGAAGCCAAAGATGTCCCCAAGCAAACCAGTGGTAGTTTGGGAGATCGGCGCAGCTGCAGCGGCACCAACATCTCCACCCAACTAGAAAAGAGAAAAACAATATGAATATTAAATCTGCTGTAAGAGGATTTAAAAAAATAAAAATAAAATAAACTGGATGTGGGCTAACCAAAGTGTCGATGCCACCACCAAGTAGATCAAGGCCACTGGATCCGGCAGGTTGTGTCTGGGGAGCTGCTGGGGCAGCGGGGCCACTTATGTCCATGCTCAACAAATCTCCAATCAGAGACTCTTGAGTTGGGATGATGGAAGGCTGATCTCCACCAGCACTCTCCCTGAAGATTTCTTGTGAACCAGTCCTAAAAAATATATATAAATCTTATTAACTCTTACACTGTACAATACATGTCGAATCATTCCAGAGTGAAGCAGAGAAGATAACTTGCCTGGCTGGAAGGGACTTGCGGAGACCTGCACGTCCCTCTACAAAGGCAGTGGGAGGTTTGTGGTAGACAGAAGCAAGGCTCGAAATGTGGCAAATTAACTCATCAAGCAGAGTTGGCTCAATCAAATCGGTTTCTTCTGAAATCAATGGCTTCTCCGCAAGCACAACTTCCTTAGCAGCAGCGGGATCAGTAGACAACAAACGCCAGTAAATGAAACCACGGTCTCTCAGATCGGGGTTATCAGAGTCTTGAGTTGCCAAACTGAGAACCTGCAAAATATGACAATAAGTCAGTCAACCTTCAAACTGAACTTAATTAAAAAAATAACAGCTTTCAAGATAATGCTAAGTAAACATTACCTGCTGTACAAGCTCTTGGGTGTCTGAAGGCCTCTTCAGGAACAACTTCACAATTGCTGTAAGTAACTGCAGTTGAACTTGAGTATTTTCATCATGGAAACCTTCCAGGAAGCTCTCCAGAAGTTCATCTGCATTGTCAATTCGTTCAGCATATTCTCCAATAATCCAGATCATTGATGCCCTGCAAGATGAAGGAAATTGTTAAATGATAGAAATAATAAAAATATGTGAACAAATGAACAATACAATTTCTCTTAGTCTTACCTTGCCTCAGGCTCATCTAAAGTGTCCAGATTCTCACAAAGAGTCGAGATAATACTCTCATATTTGTTTGGATACTTGCGGAAAATATCTTTAATGACAACAATAGCCTCTTGGACAACGTAGTTCACCTATAATAATTTAAAACAAAACAATTAAAAACTATTTGACAATAAGAACATTAGAGAAAAACACTAAATTTAAATTTTTCAATTCATACCTTAGTCTGAATGAGATCCAGAAGTGTGGAAACACAACGTTCTGCTGACTGTTCAACCTTGATGGCACAGCGCCCAATGGCACGAACAGCTTTGCGGACAAAATCCACGTCAACCTCTGTTGCATATCTAAAATGCAAAATAGAATGAGAAATTCAATTCATAAGGGCACGCAAACAACAATTGAAGTCCACTTACTCTTTAAGTTCAGAGAGCACTTGGGCAATATTAGCCTGAGATGCAAGCCTGATCATAATGTCTAGCTTCTCCAACTTCACATAGATAGGATCATTATACTTTACAAAGAAAACTTTCATCTCATGTTTCAGGATGTCAGGCCTTTTCTGGACAATGAGATTAATGTTTCGAAGAGCAACATACTGAACCTAGAAATTATTTTAACGGAAAATAAAGAGATGCATTAGGATCCAAAGCTTCAAAAAAGACAAACTTATTTATTAAGTTGTTTACTTAATGTTACCTCAGGTTCAGAGGACAGCAACGTGACAAGAGGTGGTGCCAACTTCTTTGTCAGGGTCTGAACAAAGTCAGACTCCCCGGGAAGCATTTCCATGAACTTCATCAAGACTTTCACAGCTGAAAGTACGACAGCAGCGTTTGCATGAGCCAGTCGTGGGGTGATACGCTCGCAAATGCTGGAAAAAAATTAAATTTTGGTTAACTGAATTTGACACAAACTAATTACTAGCACACAGACAAAATTTTTAAATGAACAAATTCAGGCAGTACCTTTGAGCTTCTCTGTCGTCCTTTGGGCTGTAATTCGCCAATGAATCGAGGATGAAAACTTGACCCCACTCAGTGCACTCATTCAGCGCTGTCAGCAGTTTATTGATTGTCTGAGCATTCATCTCAATCAAGGGTGATCCACTTGCACTGGATTCATTTATTTCGGACAGAGCAGCAACAGCATTTGCAACAACCTAGAAAACAATGATAATTATAATGATCACTAGAAACATCTTACAGGGAATAAAGGAAGCACTCAAATATTGATAGATAACTTACCATAGGATTAGAATCAGACAGTAAATCTTTCAACTGGTCCAGGAAACCCTGATCCTCAACAAGATGAGCATTGATGTCATAAAGCTTCGCAACACATACAGCAGCTGTTTTACGAACATAGGGATCTTCATCTTTCAGGCATTTCCTCAAGGGTTCACAAAGGTACTCAGTAATTTTGTCAACACGAATACATCCCATAGTTCTCACAGCTAAAGCACGGATAAGGGGATTAGGATCTTCACAATCCTGTAGAGAGAACAATATCGTAAGTGACAGTGACTAACATAGAAAAAAACATCAATGGGCTATAAATGCGATGAATACCTTTACAAAAGTGTTGACAGCCATAATCGCCATGTCAGGTTGGCTTTTGGCATAGTTCATCAAGTACAAGTAAACAAGCTTCTTCAGTTCCAGGTTATCAGTTTGCATGCAGTTAACAACATCAGGGAAGAGAGCAGAAACATCTTTGCCAACAGTCATGGATGCTATCACCTACAAAGATAAAGGTAGCATCAAGATGGCATCACTACCAGACTAAAGAAATGTACAACTTGATTGAAATAAAACAGCTTTTTTAACCTTTTTAACAGCCTCTCTTTTCTTTTCCTTCTTGTCATTGTTCAGCTCAGACTTGAGCTCAAATATTTCGCCCTTCTTTGTAGTTGTAAAATACTTGGAGTCAGTCATTGTGATTCCTTTGTTTCCTGTTAACAAAATTCAAATTAAATGGCCAACATTTAGACAAAGCTTAGAATCTTGACTGGACTGAGCATGCAACATGGTAGACTGAATACCACAGACAAACACACGATAGTGACAAAATGAATGGTGAGGTGACGTAGAGGTTAGGTTAGATCAAAGAAAGCACTTCATGCTGAACTCAGAATCAGTTTAAAGAGCAAAAAGAATGCGCAACGAATGAAAGAGTAATAAATGATAATTGTATGGCAAAGAAACTTCATTTATAGTCGAATGATGGGGAAAAGTTCATGAAAACCAGTACCTACTGACAGTAGGTGGTAGTAGATAGTGACAGAGACCGGAGACAAAATATTAAACGGGATCAAACGATTGATGTCTTGCAGTGGTTGGAAGGAATGCGAAAGTTCATAGAAACTAAACTATGGCAATCGTAACAGAAACAGATACTTACGACACTTAGATCACGATCGAAATCAACGCCCCTCAATTCAACTTGTCGTCCGCGGACGTCGCAAAGCAGCACTAGCGCGATTCGAGAATCGATCTCGAGCTTTTCTCCTTTCGATCGTCTCGATCCCTCACAACCAACACCACCAACGTGAAAAAAGAAATAAAAAAAACCTTTTGCTGCATGAAAATTTTCAAAAACATTAAGTTATCTTAATAATCTTCTTGAAAAGATAAATATTTATGACGGATCTTTCGACTTTGCTCTTAGGCAACTAGTTTTCCTGTACGCGATTTTTAAAAAATGGTTTTGTTGGTAATCTTCCGGCCTTTGCCTAGCCAGCGCTTTTCAAATCGATGAGACAGCGGTCAACGAACTGTAGAGCCTGTAGAGACCTGTCGAACTTCGAAAGATATTTTTTTCATGAAAGAATTTCGCAGTTTCTGCTTGTTATTCTTTACTCAATTCATTCTTCCTAAAGGGTTTTTCTTCGACGCAGCAGAAACTTTGGGTGATATTTTGAATGAGCATTCCCTGTGAGCTCCGAGCGCAGTCTGCAGGACTGCAGGCAGGCACGAGCGTCGTATATTTGCCTACCTTCCATTCGGGCGTTTCTTAGTTGGACTTAGTGGGACGTTTCTTAGTGGGACTCTATAGGGCCCCTCCCTCTCCCTCACCTCCCCATTCCATGTCTGTGTCTGAATTCCCGTTGGTGTTGGTGACTGAGTAAATCGTTTAGGGGTCGTTCCACTGTCATGCCCCTTTTGACCGAAGGTCGTTCGGGGCCGAACGTCTGTGTCCAGCCCGAGGGCACAGGCGAGGCGGCTGGGTTCCCCTCGGATTTCGTTCTGTTTGTTCAAGCGGGAATTAAAACGAAGAAACGCGACTGGCCGGGTGAGAGGCCCCGCGGACAGGTGACAGTCGAAACAAAAGCAGGTTTGCCCGCGCAGGCTGCGCGCTCCATTCTGTCATTCTGTCGTTCCAGGCGGCTGTTTGTTTTTGTTGGCATTGTCCCGTTTAAAAATTGAATTGGAATGTGTCTGTCTCGCTTTTTTCCTTCGTCAAGTTGACGAGCGCTCCACCTTCGCCGACACGTCCAGTCGCGGGAAACACGGGGATGGGGGCGTTGGGATGGGATTGTCATGAGGAATGGGAACAGAAAACATAGAGTCCAGCTTCACTTTGTGACGGCATAATAGAATAATCATTTTATTGTAAACCAGCAAAATACACATATCCAATTCTAAATGTACAATGATGGCTCCAGCGCTGAAGCGCTGTATCATAGAGGCCGTCTAGAGAAAATAAAGAACGAAAAATACAACCTGACATAATCACAATGAGTAGAGGATTAAAATAGCAACTGGAGGCCAACTTGAACGAACTGTGGCTCGAACAGGCAAGCGGCGCTGGCACGTCGCCGCGGCATCCGTCGCTTTTGGCCCGGCCTGTGCGAGAGCAAAATCAACTTCACACCGGGCCAGCGACCCCGTGGGTGGGGAGCCCCGTCGCGGAATACTGCCCTCACACCCCTTTCTTTAAAATTGCCTATCGGCTCAAACGCGAGCGTAAGTGCCGCACGGCGCCGGCACCGGGGGGCCTTCTCCCCTTTCGCAAGCCTTTTCGTCATCTCATTCTCCGCCCTCGATGCGACCTTTCCCCCTGAAAGTGTTATGGCCAGACAGGCAGTAAACCAGTGCGGTGGGGATCCCCCCCCCCACACACACACACGCACGCACACAAAGGGAATATGATGACCGCGGATGCCTTTTCATTCACGCCGACAGTCAATACTGTCTGGCCCTGCACAGGCCGGTTTCCGGACGGTGTTTTCGCCGCTCCGTCTTTCTCGCACTCACGGGGCGTCCCGCAGGGGAGCGAGAGAGACAGAGTGGCAAGGGCGCTGGCGGCGCCGAGGCCGTCCGCGGCGGCGCCACTTCGGAATCCATGGGGCGGCAACCCGATATCCGCTAACGAGCAGTTTGCGTCGGGGACGTTCTTACCCGGGCACCTCGCGGGGGTACGCAGTACACAGCGCCCAAGCGGTAAGCCCCCATGCAGCAGGATGCCTCTCTCGCACCCCTACGGAACGCCCCACGAGTGCGACAAAGACAGTTGGCCGCCTTTGGCGTACGAAAGACACACTTCACACGTCGCGCGCCTCCGAGCGGCTGCCTCCCTTTCCACTCGATGGGTCGGAGTTCAAACGCTGTCATCCAAGTTCCTTCCGAGAAAGCCAAACTCATCGCCCTGGCGGTGCGGTGCGGGGCGGGGCCTAGACCTGCGTGTCCTGGAGGTCGCACACCATGACGCTGACGACGGCCGGGGAGCTCCTGCCGGGTAGGCCACAGGGGTGGCAGGCGCCGGGCCAGGCCGCGCCCAGCCCGTCCAAGCTGTCCATGTCCCTGGCCTCGCACGAGGGCGCCGCGTCGGACTGGGTGTCGACGCCGTTGGCGGCCGGCGAGTACGGCGGCGAGGAGCACTCGGAGGACTCGTCGTCGGTCTGCGGCGCGCGCGGCCGCGGCCTGGCGGGCAGCCGGTGCGCGCTGGGCGCGGTCCAGCTCGCCAGCTTGAGCGAGAACTTCCTGGCGGAGGGCGCCGCCGTGATGGAGATGGCGGGCGCCGGGGCGGGGGCGTTGACGCCGACCTTGACGCCGTCCCGGACGCCGTCTTTGCCGGCGGTGGGGGTGGCGCCCGGCCCGGCCGGCGACGCGGACGGCACCGTGGCGCGGCGGCAGGTGGCCACGCACCGCTCCAGGGCCTGGCCCAGGCACACCACCAGGTCGTGGTCGCGCTCGTGGTGCAGGTAACGCCCCACCAGGATGGCGAGCGCGACGAAGTACAGCACCAGCACCACCATCACGTAGATGATGGCGTTCTGCTTGGACTCGCGGTGCATCTGCACGATGCGCTCGATCTGCGCCTGCGACAGCACCTCGGTGCGGTTCGTCTGCCACGGCACCCAGGGCAGGCTCGCCATGCCTGCAACAACACAATGCCGTTTCGTTGTGAACCCTCCGTCCAGTCCCTGCACAGTCCCTGCACAGTCCCTGCCGTGTCGAGTTCCGGCGACGCCAAACTAGCAGTGTGGCAAACGGCACGGTCGTCCCCCCCGTCTAGGCAAGGCCAGCGACTCTCCATGCCCGCGAGGCCCGCGAGCCCCGCCAGTTCGGATACTGATACGAGATCAGAAAAGCCCCCTCCCCCGGGGCTGGGGCTAATAAGGGAATGCCGCAATGCCTTTTTCTTTTCTTGTCTCTATTTCCAAGGAGGCAGCGACCCTTGACCTTGAGAAAGGGGCCTGCTCTGGCCCGGCTGGGGAGGGGAGGGGCTGTCATCTGTTGAGCCGGGCCGGGTGGAGTTGGTGGTGTGGTGGTGGTGTGAGGGGGAGGGGGTGTGCACATCTGATTGGACACATTAAGGTGCCTTAACGGTTTGCGGTTGGCGCACTGGAGGCGTAATTTCTTTCTCCCGTCTCCCGATCCTCCCGATGATCGAATCAAGGTCACCGGGCTGCTGCCTGGGGGTTGCGGAGAGATAGTTACTTGCGGTGTTTTTGTTTTCGCTGAGGTTGTTGTTGTTTGCGGGGAGGGGCTCCAAAGTGACTCCCCGGCGCCGGTAATTGACGCGCCAAGCCCGGCAAGCCCAATTTCACGCGCCGTCGCTCTCTCTCGCACTCGCGGCGCGTCCCGAGAGGGTGCGAGAGAGACAGTCGACGGGTCCAGCCGCACCTCGCTTGCAGAGGACGCGCAAGGTGAGGCCCGGGCGTCTAATTCGGGCTAATTCGGCGTGTAACTGTTCGGCAGGGAAACCTTTGGAAAACAAGGCTAATCATCTGGGACGGCTTGTGCTTGGCTGGCGCTGCCCAGGGCTGCCCAGGGCCTGGAAACAGAGGCCAAGGCCACGGTCGCCGCTGGTCGTGGTGGTGGTGGCCTGGTCGCCAGGGTGAAGCAATAATTGATTTCAACTAAACGGGTTGTGCTCGCGCGTTCGAATCCAGTACGATGTCGCCCTGCGCAAGGGCCTGGCCCGCTCCAGCCAGCCTTCCACAGTGTACAGCACAGCGCTTGCGCCTCGCGCCGGAAGTACCCGACGAGAGCTTCCTTTTTTTGGGCAAAGGGAAAACGCGTTGTTTACCCATTCGCGCCTTTGTCGCGCATCTCTGTCGCCTCTCTCTGTGACCCGTCGGAGCGCCTGCGGTGGGCGGGATAGGCAACCCGGTGCGCGTTGTCTGCCTGCCATTACCATTACCATTAAGGGCTTCGCCTTCGCTGGCGTGTGCGAATGCGACTCGCCAATATCCGGGCCGGCTTATTCTCTTTGTTTGCCCCGCCCTGCTTGCCTTGGTCGCCCCGCCCTGCCTCGCCCTGCCTCGCCCGGCCCGGCCCGCCTTGACTGCGGTGTTCCCCGCCGTCGTTTGTTTGGGGACTAAAATTAGGGAGCGCAATTTCGACACGTGTGTGTGCGTGTGTGCGCGTGTACCGAAGGGCGTCGAATTGCGCGGAACAAGGTTGCAAAGGGTTGAAGGTCGCCCTGCCCGGCTAAAGGGCCATGAAGGCCGCTCGGTTGGCTCGGCCCCCTGCTGATACCGGGAGATCTCCTTAAGGGGAGGAGGCGGCGGGGGCAGGGCCCCTGGAGCTAGTCCCGGTGACTCCGAGCCCCAACTTGCGGCCGAAAACACACGGCAGACAGGCCTGTGATGTGCAGCACCGTGGTAACAGTGATGTGGTGGACCGCCATTTTTGTTTTTGCTGAACAGTGATGTAGTGGCGCTCTCCCACCGGTGCGAGAGAGACAGAGGCCGAAGTTGGCGGCATGTCGCGATGAAACACGCTTTGCCAATCTCTCTCATGCGCGAATTGCAGCCGGGATTGCTGTTGTTGTCGAGGTGGATGGGTGTGTCACTGCCAGGCTCGCCTGCGCCCGCCCGCCTCGCGACACACAGCAAGACCGGCGAGTTGGTAAACGGTCGCCGCGGCACTGCGTCGGTCCGACTCGACTCTCCAAGGAGTTCGTCGCGGCGGGGAGGTGTGGCACAGTGGGCCAGAAGGCCGGTGCCGGCGGGCAAAACCCTCGACGCGTTTTGAACTCGAGTCGCTAAACAGGACTCGAACCGAGCGTGTGACCCCACCAATGGATTC